TCACTCTAAGTTCCTTCTCTCTGTTTAGTTGAAAGTGTATTTCTTAGATTACACTGGAGACCGTCCATATGAACAGCTTGGAATTCAACCATGCCAGACAGGGTTTTTCTCCCTTGATTTATAGCCTTTGGCACCCATTTTTGCCATCTTAACCTCATTTTCTACAAAGCATTTTGATTGTAGATAATTAAGGACTGATGTAACATACAGAAGCCTAGAGTCCCTGCCAAATGTTTTGACTTCTGTCCAGCAAATTGAGAGTCACGGTCAGAAATAACATTCAGTTACTTATTAAATGTGCTCGATTTTCATTCTGCCCTACTTCCAAGGACCACAGGGTAGCACATTTCCCCTCCCCCACTGTATCTTCACAAAAATACTGTGCAGTGCTAGATTCAGCTTTGGATCTCTATTTCCAGTTACAACCTGATCTCTTAATATGGTATTTGCTGATTTTAGGTCTTCAAAAGTCTTGCCTTCATTCAAAGTCCCCTTGCAAAATGTATTACTTAGCTTCACTTTTGTATAGCAATTGCTTCCACATGGGGGCAAGTCCCCATTTCCCTCTCATTACCAACTGTGGATGCAAAGGCAATGGGACTTAACGTGGAGATTTACCATGGTTCCACTCCTGCCATCTATTTCCCCCCACTTGCTTTTTGCAGGGTTTTAAAAACTATTGGTGATAGATATTTCTCTATATCGTTTTATATGTACTACCAATAATTTCTAAAAAGAACCCAAAAATCCTCACCAAAAGGCTGCCAGAGCTAAGGGGCAATGACTAGTGGAAGAAGTAATGGGACGGGATGTGGAACCAGATGTGGCACAAGGAGCTATGGAAATCTGTGCTTCCCAGATCTGCTTTTGGTACTATCATTCAGGAAAACATATTGAAGTAGATTTGGAGAAGCCCACAGCAGATCCAGAGGAGTCCCAGAAGGCCAGTGGAAGGGCAATGGTAGTATATGGACACAAAGAAGCTTGGGGACGGGACGGACATAGAGCCAGAGGTTCCCGCAGAGGCAACCCAGTATGTATCACTATGTGAGGAGTTAGTAAAACTTAGCTGTACTCTATTAAAAATTTCATCTGCTTCAGCAATAGTTTTGGCTTTTCTTCCTTCTCACCATCACCATCTTACCTCTACAGACATGCATCCCACTTTGCATTATTTCAAAGAGAACTCCTCATCAAAGGCTCTTAAGTAAGCTCAATAGTCATGGGATAAAGGGACAAGTCCTCTTGTGGATCAAAAACTGGCTAATTTATAGGAAACAGAAAGTGAGTATAAATGGGCAATTTTCACAGTGGAGGATGGTAAGCAGTGGGTACTGCAGGGCTCAGTACTGGGTATGATGCTTTTTAACTTGTTAATTAATGATTTGGAGTTGCAAGTAAGTAGTGAAGTGGCTAAATTTGCGGATGATACTAAATTGTTCAGGGTGGTTGGAACCAGGGAGGATTGTGAAGCACTCCAAACGGATCTGTCAAGGATGGGCGAGTGGGTGTCAGCGTGACAAATGGGGTTCAGTGTGGTCAAGTGCAAAGTGATGCACGTTGGGACCAATAATCCTAACTATAAATACACATTGATGGGGTCCGAACTGGCAGAGAATGACCAGTGAGAATGTCAACTCAGTGTGCCACGGCAATAAAAAAGGCATATGCTATGCTGGGGATTATTAGGAAGGGAACTGAAAACAAATCAGCTAGTATCATAATGGCCCTGTATGAATCTATGGTACGACCTCATTTGGAATACTGTGTACAATTCTGGTCAGCACACCTCAGAGAGGATATTATAGCATTATAGCATTGGAAAAAGCAAGAAGGAGGAGGAGGAGGAGGAGGAGATTGGATTTATACCGGCTGAAGAGTCTTTCAAGACGTAAAATCTTTACTTAGCTTTCAGGCACACAGATAACTAGGTAGGTAGAGTCCTGATCTCTTTCCTGATCTGTGGCAGATCCAGCTAGCACCAAAGGAAGGGACAAGCAAAACAGGAACTAGGAGAAGAAACTACTAGCCCCCAATAAGTTGTTATTATTATTAAATAACTCTACAACTCAATTAACTCTCTAATTACCTCTCCACTTCTGTGTGATAAGACAAACACTTGTCAGAGATGCTCTAAGCTAATCCTGCATTGAGGTTGGACTAGATGGCCTGTATGGCCCCTTCCAACTCTGTGATTCTGTGATCTATCACGTTGATGGGGTCTGAACTGACGTAGACTGACCAAGAGAGAGATCTTGGAGTCATAGTAGATAACTCACTGAAAATGTCAAGACAGTGTGCGACTGCAATAAAAAGGCCAACGCTATGCTCAGGATCATTAGGAAGGGAACTGAAAACAAATCAGGCAGTATCATGATGCCCCTATATAAATCGATGGTGCAACCTCATTTGGAATACTGTGTACAGTTCTGGACACCACACCTCAGAAAGGATATTATAGCCTTGGGAAAAGTGCAGAAAAAGGGCAACTCGAATGATAAAAGGGCTGGAACACTTTCCCTGTGAAGAAAGGTTAAAGCGCTTGGGGCTCTTTAGCTTGAAGAAACAATAACTGAGGGGTGACATGATCAAGGTTTACAAGATTATGCATGGGATAGAGCAGGTAGAGAAAGAAGTACTTTTCTCCATTTCTCACAATATAAGAACCCAAGTCGTGGGCACTCAATGAAATTGCTGTGCAGTCAGGTTAGAATGCATAAAAACAAGTATGTCTTCACCCAAAGAGTGTTTAACACATGGAATTCACTGCCACAGGAGGTGGTAGTGGCTACAAGCATGGACAGCTCCAAGAGGGAATTAGATAAGCATATGGAGCAGAGGTCCATCTGTGGCTCTTAGCCACAGGGTATAGATAGGAACTCTCGGTCTGGGGCAAGTGATGCACTGTATTCTTGGTTCTTGGGGGGGGGGACAACAGGGGGAGGGCTTCTAGTATCCTGGCCCCACTGGTGGACCTCCTGATGGCACTGGCATTTCTGGCCCCTGTGTGACACAGAGTGTTGGACTGGATGGGCCTTTGGCCTGATCCAACATTGGCGTCTCTTATGTTCTTATGACCTTGCGC